CGAAACCTTATACTCGTTATTTTTTCTAAACAAAGCCAATTGCTGATGCAAAAAATATTTTTTGGTGATTCAGTTTTCTTAAAGATATATTTACATGCTCTAAAACCCTTCTCCCCAGACCTTGACCACGGACATTTTTACATCACATTAATTCTTGATTAAAAAAGCGTAGGGTTTGTTTGTTAGTTTGTGAAACCCCAATCGTATATATATAAAACCTAAAAATGCACTGTCAACCTATTTTGAAAATTCGGGAATCCACAGAGTGTAGTCTTTTCATCTGTCGTCGGTGGTTTGTGACCCGGGCGGAATTTCAATATTTCTACCACCCACTTATTAAATTCATAGTCATCTAGTAACAAGGATTTGAAGAAGAGATCCTGAATGTGTTTAATAGTGCAACCAATACCGTTATTTAATATTACAGAGATATGCGCCGACTAAAAAATGCGTTTGCGCAGCATAAACGAGGGTGTGCGACGAACCGTGCAACTCGACGTGCAATATACCATAAAACACAGGTGGTTATAATGCAACCGTATTTTTGTTACATCAAGAAAATTGCCGCAATATATACAATTTTAAAAAGAAATCTATATGTAATCCTTATACCAATATATAAAGCTGAACCGTTTGTTCGTTTGTCTGTTTGATTGCGCTAATCTCAGGAACTACAGTTTAAAATTGAATCTTTTTTTGTATTGGTTAGAGCATGTATCGAGGAAGGCTCACAGAGGAAAACATCGCGCTGTGACTAATAGAAACTAATAGATACAGTGGAATTGTAAACAAAAAGGGGAACTGTTTAGAAAGATGAAGGGATTTGCAAAAACTAATTTAAAAAATAACTATTCTAGGCGGACGAAGTCGCTGTCACAGCTAGTTAATAATAAATTAAAAATCAACATTGTAGTCACATTTTTGTAGCAGCCGCAAGCAAAATCCCTCCCCAAGAAACCCTATTCAATATCCTTCTATTTTAATCAGAATCATGTTTTTGTTACTATTTTAATATCTAATATATAAAATTTTCGTGTCACGGTGTTCGAACTTGAACTTCTCCGAAACGGCTCGACCGATTTTCACCAAATTTTGTATTCAGTAGGTCTTAGAATAGGACAACGTATTTTCATCCCCCTAAGTGATAAGGGTTGTTCACCCTTAAATTTTTTATTTTATTTTTAGACAAAATTTTTCATTTCTTTATGATACAACATACAAAAATACATACAATCCTCAATTTTCACCCTTCTACGATCAACCCTTATTTTTTAATAGACATTTTAGTAAAATTATTTATATGGCAAAACAACGTTTGCCGGCTCAGCTAGTTTTTGTATAAGAAGAAGAGCCATTAATAAGGGAAGTTTATGCCTGTATATTCCTTATTATTATTTTTTATGATAGGGGGCAGACAAGCCAGGGATTCACTGAATGCTAGATCAAATACCCTGGCCAAATAACATTTATATAAGGTGCGCTGACGAGCTCTTTTTGACGTTGTAAGCTCGGTTATCTTGTTTTAATCGAAATATAGGAAAATGAAAAAGTAAAGCACTTGAAAGCTTAATCATTTTTACATGTTATTGCACATGAAGGCACTATATAATTTAAGAATCGAAAATAAATTGAAAAGATTTTTGACTTAGGCAAGGAGCAACAGCACGAAACTCTGACGATGCCGTTTCAAGTCCTGCCCGAGTCGATTTTTTTTTATTTTTTTTTTCGATTTTTAAAGTAAAGCACTTTTAAATGGTTGTAGTATTAAAACTCAAGTTTTTGAACCATTTTATTAATCAATAGGTAATAAATACAAACGAGAGTTAAATACTAGAATAGAGTGTTATAGACAGCCTTATCGGTAACAAGCTATCTATTCCAGGCAATGGCAAAGGAAAGAAAAATAAATTTCGAGAATAGCAAGATGGGCGAGACAAATAAATCCGAAAAAAAAAATAGTTTGTAAACTTAGTCACAATAAACAAATAGTATTTTGTGAAATTCCTTAAATTTCACAAACACACACACACACACGTGCTTTTAATATGGTTAAAAATAACTTTAAAACATCTGCAGCTACTTAAAAACTTTCCCACAAAAGTTTATTCGTGAAAATTATCGTGATCAACAGCGGAACTAACTGTGTAAGGATAGGCAAAGGAAAGTTCACAAACGCGCAATCCACGGCGAATATTATCTAAGTTAGGCCACCATGACTCTGTGAATACTGATGAGGCTCGTGCTCTTAAAACGTCAGTGAAGTTGGGGAACCTAAATTAGAGGACTATGTTGCATCAGGAGAAATGCGGTCAAGTAAATTATTTTAAAAAATATGAACAAAGTATATGCAAATAAGATTATAAAAGTCCTTAATTTTTGTAATTCTCATTCATTGGTTAAAAAGAAGCGTTTTAACTGTTTACAACGCGGATTATTCAGTTATTTTAATTTTGGTACAGTATTTCCACAATGATCAATATTGTGGTACTACTTTTTATCTAATTTAAAAATCGAAAATAAATTGCACAATTTTTCGACACGGGCAGGACTAGAACCGTCATACACATCGTTCCGTGCTGCTGTTCTAACCAATTCAGTCATCATCGATTTTTTTCATCCTTCCAAAGATTCAATGTGTTATGCTTTGCAGCTTAAGAAATGTGAATTTGAGTATGAAATTGCAGTTTAACATATATATGTAAAAAATATTCAAGTTTACAAATATAAAGAAATATTCCTTAAATAATGTTTGTAATAAACGTTGCAAAAAGAACTCTTTAACTAAAAACGCACTTAACATTAAAATAACATTAATAATTATAATTAATAATATTGAATAACTACCGCCATAAGTTTCAATTTAGCTACCGAGGCGATTATACTTCATATCGTAAAATTAAAAATATCTTATTTCCTCCCGGGGGTATGGGGCGAAACTGTATTGTGTCTTGGGGGGGGGGGGGGGGGGGCGGGCCGGAGGGGACTGAGATTTCATCTATAGATCCTCTGACAAGCCCGACCGAATTAATTTATTGTTACCCAGGACACATTCAACCATTGAGCTATAGAGGCTTTATAATACGTAGATCAAAATACCTCGCTGAAATTCATAATTTCTCATTTCGCAAGACAATTATCTCGACAGACCTCGTTCTCTGTTTCGTCGAAAAAAATAAAACGATTTCAGATTTCACGAAACCGCGAAACAATTCCATCTTGCTCCAATAATGACGTTTTCGGATGAACGGCTGCCTAATGTGAAGGACCTCCAATTTGACGGCGGATTATTATTCTTGGAAAAACGGATGGGCTGTCAGTGATTTACATACAAGTGATTTATAAGAAGGTGCAAATGAACGCTATCTCCTTTTATATCAATTTACGAACGGTTGGTAAAGGAGGGATTTCATGAGATTTTCGTGTTAGATTTTTTATTTTGTAGCAGTACTGAATAGCTTGATTTCACCCCTTACATTTTTAAGGTCACATTGGTCTTTATTGCAATGTATGGCTTATAATTCTTATTATATACATTATATGAATTACCCCAACATAATGAACAAGTATATCAATTTTGGATTAGGATATTCGGGACGCGATGAAACTTCATGGTTTTTTCATTTGGAAGGTGGTTCAAGACCCGAATGTAATTTCGATCCAGATTTCCAGACAAGATCCACATGTTTCAGAAAAAATATATTGTGTTAGAATTTGTTGGATATCGAACTCACGACCCAACTATTTATATATTTGATTATTAGCTTGCTGGATCATTGCTAAAATGACCGACGGCTCCGCTGGAACGCTGGAACAATTTTTTTTTAAATCAATATAGTATTTCGGTAAATTACACATAAATACATTTAGTTGTCCGCCCTATGGGCTATGGTGTTTAGAAAACAGAATTTACTTCGTCACAGCTGTTATTTTAAATTGTGTTTGTATTATTAAACTTAGAAGCTAGATCTTCAAGGAAGTGGCTGGAAGGTACCATTATTATTTTTCTAAAACGTATTTAATGCATCCGTTGATACATAATTCTGGGGGCCCACTCTTTCCAAACTAAGCCCGTTGACATTTATTTCATTAAACTTTTCAATTACTTGTTGTCCCAAAGGCGTGCTGTTGACTTTGTACAATATTCCAATTTCCTTTCTCCGCAGCATTTTATTTTACTACAGACCGCAGTTTATTATTAGCTTTTGTCGCTGAAATTAAGTCCATTTTGTTTAACTTAATTTTCGTTTAACCGCTAAGTACATTTTTTGCCCAAAATTATATTCACAAAGAGGGTAGAAATTCAAATTATTTTCACTGCGCATGAAATAAACATAATTGGTTAAATATATTTAAAAAATGTATACATAAATATATTTTTTAAATAAAATATTTAACGGGTTAAAACGCGATATATATTAGTAAAAAATATTTTAACTAGGACCCGACGTTTCGACGTCGCCCCGTGACCACTGCTGCTGCAAAAGATCCGAACCGTCGGGCCATAGTTGAAATAATTTTCTGATAAGTTTAACTAATATGTATCGCATTTTAAGCCGTTAAAGTGGTTTATTTAAATGTTTACTACTCGCGTAAACTACAGATATTTATTAAAAATATATTTACTTATTTGACATAACAATAAAAAAACTGTAAAAAAAAAAATAGTATTTGACAATCTCAAATTACTTAATATAAAATTGTTTAAGTATAGATTTATGTTTTGTGCTACGAGACGAAAGCTTACAGAAAAAAAATAATCAGTTTTTGTTCACACCTTTTTGTGTTAATATGTCATCACCATCATCATCATTATCAGCCCGTTTATGTCTACAGCTAGACTTAGCCACTCGGCCATCTTTTCAGATCTAGCTTAGTCAAGTCATTATTGCAGTTAGGCCACTCTGGCTCTAGCAACCCCATATAATAAACTCTGAACGTACCGAACGCTACGTATAGCCTTACAATCTATTTCAGGCGTCAATTCCGTTCGTATAATCAACATGCGGGTCCCTGAAGTCTTGCAGTACGGAACCCGAGAGGCTGTCACGCTCGACTGTGATTACGTCACGAACAACGTCACGGGGCTGGTCGTCAAGTGGTTCTATATGGACCGCTCGCAGCCTGTGTATCAGTGGATACCGCCTCAGAAGCCTCAAGCATTGGGCATTATGAAGAATAAGGTGACAATTTATATGTAACTTATGGCTCTAGTGTTACTTAATTATTATTGTTTATTTCCAAGTTCAAGGTTGCCTAGAAGAAATCGCCTTTTAACGATAAGTCCGCCGTTTCTTTCTTTTAAATTAATTCTTGTTTTGTAATTCTTGTGGTGATATTAAAGTATTGTTTATTTTTTTGAAGAAGTATGTATCCGCGTTTGTTCATCCCTTGATTAATATCTCAGTGTTTATATTGGCACATAATATCTATAGTATTATTATTAAGTTGAAGAGTTTGTTTGTTTAAACGCGCTAATCTCAGGAATTACTGGTTTGAATTGATTTTTTTTTTGATCTGGTAACGTACGGGGAATTTTTTAACCTATGAGGGGTAGTCTTGACGTCGCGGAAAACGTGCGACGGTCCAAAAAATTTTAATGAGAATTATTCCTTTTTAATTGATCTAAAAACATATATAATAATTAATTTAGTATTGCTATATTTGTGTTGAATTTGTTCTGCAATTAAGTATTTTTATTACATGTTTAAATAAAACACTTTTAACGGATTAAAACGCGATAAATATTACTTAATCTCTTCCATTACAAACCGTTAATAGTGTTTAATTAAACTTGCCTGAACTACAAACAATATAGATATATAGTAGGTAATTGTATACATTTTTTCAGCTGGATTTGAGCTACAAAGTCTCGAGCAACCCTTACACTCAGCACCGAGCTCTTCGGATTCTTGAGCCCAGCACGGATATGACGGGAAACTACACCTGCGTGGTTTCCACTTTCCTCGCTGAAGATGAGAGAACTCGTCCCATGACGGTTTTTGGTAAGTAACCCTAAGTCGTTTTTACACTTTTGTCGCAAGCTTGATGGTAGTAATATAGAAATTCCGTCCTGGTCACGAACCACCGTCCACAGATGAAAAAACCAGTTTGTGGATTCCCGAATATCCAAAGGCAAAATAGGTCGACGGCACATCTTGTTTATATGCTATAGGCTGGGTTATATACACCATGAAGTAAACTGCACGCTATTCTGTCCTCCCCTATCATAAAAAAAACGAGATTGTTCTTAGACTGTGTATTAAGTATGTATGTTCCAGCGTCTAAAATGCTAACCAGATTTGAATGAACGAGATGTTTTAGAATCAACAACAGTGACGCACCAAACATAAACCAAACTATTTTTATCATTTAAAATTTTTTAACTGAAACTAAATTTTTTAACTCAATACAAAACTAATAATTATAACGAAGCTTGTGCACATCATAATATTAACACTCTAGAAGACAGAAGAGATATAATAGACATGATATTTTTTACGACATTCTCCATAACAAACTTGACTGCCCGACATATTGGTAATATTTTCTTTCAAGTCCCAAGCCTTCGATAGACATACAAATATTTTTTACGTTCCGTACGCTTCTACCTCTTACTTGAAAATTCCCCTCTTTACCGACTGCCCGATATTTAAATAAAAAATTTTCATCCATAGATATTTTTCATCTTTCACGCCCCGTCTTTAAAAAGCCCTAATTAGCACCTTTAAAAAATAAGAACATACATTCACTTACACTTAAATGATACAAAAAACACACCCCATCCCTGGATACTAATTATTCTGTTTTATTCACCTATAATATAGAACCTTGTCACTTGGGTAATTATTAAATTATTATTTGTAAATCTTGTAATTGGGTAATTAATTGCCTAACTACAAATAACATGTAGTTTATGTAAGGATTTTGTAAATAAATAAATAAATAAATATTAAATAATGTGTAATAATTTTTTTCTTCAAATAATCAACGAATCGTGGGTTCGATTCCAATCAAATCGGTTTTTTGTTATATAAGTTTTGTAAAACATTTTGGACTTCGTCTGGACATTAATTAAAAGGGTTGTTAGGGGTTGAAAAGGGGGATGAAAGTTTGTATGGAAATTCGTGGTTTTTGAAGCTAGAACAATGAAACATTCTTCTTTGGTTTTTTGGCGAATGGGAATGGGAATGGGAATGGGGCTGGGAGTGGAAGTGAGAGTGGTAATGAGTGTGGGAGTTAAAGTAGGAGTGATGTGAGGTAAGAGTGTTGCGGCAAAGTAGCACTTACAATACAGATTGGCTGCTTTAAATGCGCCCTTTTATAAATTAATAAACAGCCTAAATAATTAAGAATGCTACCCAAAGTCACTATTTCAAGCGGGCGAAGTCGCGGGCACAGCTAGTCGTATTTAAAATTAAACATGTCTGTTAGCCTTATCGAAAACCGAAATGTTTTTCATCTAGCTTTAAAACATGTCTTCATCACACATACTTAATTCTTACTTTGCGTCATCTTCAAGAAAAACATCGTTATAACGAACTTATCAAACTTATTCCATGCATGTTTTTAGTATGCAAATTGTTCTCCGGATGAAGTGACGCGTTGACGCTAGAAAAGGCCGTAATTTCCGTCCTGTCACAGAACTTTACTACTCGTTAAATGTCGTTACTTTGTATTATTTTTAGGGTTCCTCAACTAATATTAAATGGTAGGCGTAGACTATTCTAATGTTAGCATTGCAATGCTAATAATCAAAGAGTCATGTCTCGATCGATGGTTCTTATCTATTTATACATGTAACATGCTGGGCTCTGGGAAATCTGGATATTAAGTAGATGATAGAAATATTTTAATTTTGTCCGGGTCACGTACTGATGAAAAATCCGTGAAGTTCGATCGTGTTTCAGTTCGTGAATTTGTTTTCAGCGATTTATAGTTTTGGACTTCGTCTTAATATCTGAATATTGGATGAGGGTGGGGTGTGAAGTGAAATCCCGCTTCCCCTCGTGGGGCATGGGTCGAACACATTTCTGTGTCCGTTTCACTGATCGTTTCTATTTACAGGCAAGTGGTTGATCAGACTTCTGTACCCTGCCCGACCGAAACCATTTACTGTTTCCCTAGGATTCGAACCCAGGACCTGTCATTTAGCTACAGAGGGTACGGGGGGAGGGGGGGTCGTTTGGAATATCTAAATTACGTCCGAGTTACGAACCACTGTGCAAAAATTAAAAAGCCGTGAAGTTTAGATTTCAGTCTGTGCATTTCCGAATATCCAAAGCCAAAACATCGTCGACAGCGCATCTTGTTTAGACGTTATATAGCTGGAGTATTTCACTTTCCATCATGAAACCCTAATGGTCTTCTGTCCTGCTCTATCATAAATGGGACTCCGAACTAACACCGCTGTCAAACGAAGCTTAACAAAAATTTCAGAAACAATTCAGGCCCGGTGCTGACAGAAATACGAAAAAAACAATACAACACGAACAATGTATATTATGTATAATTCTATGCGTGAATCATACAGAACCCATTCTCTACTTAGCTCACTCGCATATACCTTTAATAATGCTTCATGAAGCTATATTTATCAATGATTACAAGCCATCACGTATAAGTAACAATATCGTCGAAACTGACAGACTCAATAAAGAAATCGGCAAAATTAACCCGAAAGACGTAAACACGAGCTATATGAGGAAACAAGTAATGGAATACAAATGACCGTTATAAAATCCATCAATATTTGAAGCTACAAGACAAGAACGTTGTTATTTAATGACTAGATAAGACATACACAAGTCTGACAAGGCATTTGGGATTTGGACGGTAGGGCATTTAATACCGCTAGTATTTAACAATAAACCGCGTTTTAACTAGTTAAAACTAAATACTGCGTACACTACAGACAGTACGCGTGTAGTACACGTTTAAATTAAAATTACACTTTATCGGTTTAAAACGCGATATATATTAGTTAAACTTATTTACAGTCTCCCCATAACCACACCTGCTGCAAAGCACCCGAAACATTGGGCCGAAGTTAAAAATCATTTTCAAATAAGTTTAAGTAAAGTTTTAAACCTTAAAGTGTTTTATTTAATTTAAATAGTCAAAACTAGTAATTATGATTGCTAGTTTTGACTATTTAACTAATATACTACTACATAGTAGGTAAGACTTAATAAACAGTATACAACACAAATATATTTACACGTTGAGAATATTTTGTCTTATTTCGTAAATAAGAAAGATCTAAGTGCATGGATCCCACTCCAGTGCAGGTTGGAGGGAGAAACCAGACCGATGGCTTTTTGTGTTTTCTTAAGGGTAAGGAATGTAATCAATAAATATGAAAATCACACCTGTTTCAAAACTTTGTACTATAATATTCCTACGAAGTCTTCCACTTATGAAATGCAAGAAGGATTTTTCTCGAGAACACATTAATATAAAACAAATTTAACGCTTTAAAACGTGAAATATATTCACTAACAATTTTTAGTACGACCAACGTTTCGGTTGCTTTGCAGCAGCCTCTTTACCTCATATCTACATTTGTAAAGTATCCGAGACGCCCCATCGTTGTCACAGTAAGTTAATATTTCGAGTCTTAATCCGTTAAATTTTAAAATAATGCCTTTAATGTTTAGGTACGTAGATTTCTTTGACTTTAGTTTGAAATGTAATGAAGTTCAGGAGTGGGTATAAAGATAAGTTTTTAAGTTTTTACAAAGACGTATCTAGTAATTTTAGGCCTTTGTGCTACCTGCGGGTATGCATTACAATTTGCGTGATCGCAACTCATTGGATGTTGTTTCAATGCATGCTCGTTCCCAGTGAGGACATCTACATTGCCTTTACAATGTGCACTTTGCTTACTGTAAGTGTATTACGAGTTTTGGTTTAATGAACCGTTTATACATTTGCTACTGTTGGGCACAGGCCTTGAATATTCTGGGTGGAACCCACCATGCTACTCCAGTGTGGGTTGGCGGAATTTTTCTCTCACTATTAAATCACTGATGATCACGGGGACGGAACCAAGCACTGTACCTGCACTGTGTGTCCAATAAATAAATAAAATTGTTTAACTTGTGAAATACAACAGAGTGACAAATTTTGGATTTTATACCAGGCCAGGACAGGAGCCTAGCCGTGTCATTAAATACTGTCTGTAGTTTAAGCAAGTAGTACACATCTAAATAAAACTGGTTTAAAACGCGACATATATTAGTTAAACTTTTTAAAAAATTTTTTAACTACGGCCCGATTTTTTTTACTTTGACGTCAAAGACGTCCTCCATCTTTAGTGTAGGTATGATTTGACAGTGTCTATTAACATTGCAATTTCTTCTGAATAGTATTAACCTTAATAAAAATTGTTCTCGTTCTTACTTTCCACTAAGTACTAACTCACAAAAAGAAGTTCTAAATATTTTCTTATTTTTTTTAGTGCCGGAAAAACGCTTCGACATGATTATGGATAGACTAAGCGATGGTTATTTGAACATAATCTGCTCCGTGGAAGGTGTTTTTCCTCAACCAGAGCTCGTCATTTTAGCGGGGAACAGGTAATTCTTTTTTTTATTAGTTCCAGAACAGCTAAATTTGGTGTATTATAAATCACAATCTAACACATAGTTCTTGGCTTATAGCTAAGAATAGAATGATGACTCGATTTTCGGAACCTATTTTTTTATCTACATTATATTAAAAAGCTGAAGAGTTTGTTTGTTTGTACGCGCTATTTTGGCGCTCACAATACTATTTGCGGACAAAGACGCTGCCTCAGCTAGTATTTAAAGTTGCCTAAATACGTATAGCCCACAGTTCATACAAACAAACAGTACAACACAAACGTATTACATATCTCGCGCTTTGTAAACTTGGGTCTTGTAACTCAGTAAACTTTGCTGCTTTTAACTAGTGTTCGTGATATCTAGACGTCTAGTGGGTAACTTTGATTTTGGATTTGAATTCCGGGGAGGCTAAATTTAAAAATTTACATTTGCTAAAAGAGTCTAGTTTGATAGTGGGTATCATTTCGCGTCTTTGAGAGCACGTTAAGTTGTTTAAATAAAATGCTTTAACGGTTTAAAACGTGATATATTCGCTTTGCATCGAAAACGTCGTTGCCATCGCGTATTAACGTTTTATATCGCGTTTTAATGTGTGCTATTCGGCTAAACTTTTATTATTTAGTTAGATTCTTCTCTGTATCATCAGTCGAGCCCACACAGTCGCACTGGTGAATGTGGCGCACTGTTGGCATGATGGGTTATGAACGGACTCCTGCACTACTGAGTTTGATAGTTGAAAACTACAATGCATAATAAATTATTCGATTTCATTGCTGATACATTACTAATATTAATACAATAACGATATCAGCACAGTTTCGTGTTCATATATATTTAATAACGGCGCGAGACGTGTCATATTTTAATTAATACATTTTATAATTTAACATCCGGCGGAAATTAACGTTCATTATATCAAAAATTATTTTCACTAGAATTAATTAAGTTATAATGAAATTATTTACGCGATTCCATTTTCAAAAGCGTCATATTGTTTTTCAACTTTAATTGATACTTGTGCGTTGTGAGAACAGCAGACAGTAAATTTTGATATGTTTAATTACGGCAAAAACGTGGAAAAACTTAACGGTAATATTATCAGTCCTTTGACAATATAAGCCTTTATTCTGACACACGTCATCGATTTATGGTTTATGGTAGCTTCTTACCATGTCCCGTGGTGCTAAAATGGATGCAAAGATAAAAATTATAGACCCAGGCTTGGGTCGCGAAATATTTCAAGAACTAAGAATTGAGCTACAGTACTGTTAACTGTGTAGCTACTTCGCTTGATGGAAGTTGAAATACCCTAGCCATATAACATCAAAACTAAATGCGTTGTCGACTTATTTTGGCTTTGGATGTTTGTAAATCCATACGCGAAGGCGACTGAAACCAAAGCGCGAATAAACTTCACGACGCGTTCCTTTTTGGATGGTGGTTCATTTTATGCATCAAAGTATAGATAGATATGTTTCCAAGTGCAAATTAGTTACTTACACAAGTTTTAGATAACAGTAGCAGACGTCGTCTCATTCGAATCCCGTAACTCAATTCCTCCTTGCAAGCCTCCGATAGTTAGCCTTAAGAATACTCGAATCCAGTATTCAAAGTTGGGATATCCGCCCCTAATCACGGCCGATATTCATTGATTCTAACAATCCGTTAGTGCAGCCGACATCTCGGAAACTTGCCGAGTAGTCCAAATCGCTCCGAATAATACAGAACACTCCTGTACGTTCCTTAATCCGGGGACACACGGGACGATACTCGGCTTAAGCTTAAATTATTATTGGTATTTTATGTTTAAAGGCCGTAAGGCCAAGAAGGGCTTTGAATCGTCAAATTTTTTTGGAAAAATAAATATTCATGAATAAACAAACATCATATTTTTTTTTACAAAGTATTTTGACGGGTTCGTTAATATAATTGTAGCAATCTATGGGTAATAGCCAAAAGTTCGATCCTCGACGGATCCAAAATTTTTCTAATACATTTATATATTCTTCACATCATAGGTGTAGGACTCGGTAGCTCAATTGATAGAGCAACAGCACGGAACGCTGACGATGCCGGTTCAAGTCCTGCCCGAATCGAAATTTTTTTCAATTTATTTTCGATTTTTAAATTAAGTATAATCACATATCGACTTCAGTCTGTAGATATCCAAATATCCAAAACCAAAATAGTTTGTTTGTTAAGATAGTTACGATGTATAGAAAGAGATATACATGGCTAGAGTATTTCACCTACCATCAGTAATCAGTCTCCTTTATTATAAAAAAGTATAGTTTTTCAAAGACAATAGTTTTACATATCCCTCCTGATACTACTGACACTATTCTAAAATCCCCAAACTTCTTTACGCCCTACTCTCATTTGTTCCATAACCGCGGCGTTTATTCTCATCTTATACAACCGTACGTTTCTAATACCTTAGAGTTTTAGTCTAAATAATTCGGATGCTCTATGAAAGTTGTCTAACTCCAACATCTTGTACGGCGCACTCAACACGGAATCAGTTTGCCCAGCAGGTCGCAGGTATTCGAATCCCTCTGGTCCACACATGCCCGATATTGGCTCAATATCTGAAACGCACGCGTCTCTTGCTGCATAGTTGTGGAGATAGACTGGATTTTAATGTGGTTGGATGGATAGATGCATATTGAAATAATTAAATTAAGTTTGTTCTAAATATAAAGAATAAGTCAAGATGTTAGTAATAGTAATAAATAAAATACGACTAATTAGGTTATTGTCTGTAGTTTACGCAATTAGTACACATTTAAATACATTTTTAGGGTTTCAAACGTGAAATAACTTATTCTTTATTTTTTTACCTACAGCCCTAAGTTTCAGATACTTAGTATCAGCCTTGGTTCAGGGGGAGGGGCAGTATATTTTTCGTTTAAGACAGTTGAACGTGTTTTTGGTTATAGAAATATTGTAACTAGTGATGATACAGACAGTTACCAACAGTGAATTAAACATCTTCTCTCTTACTCTTTGGTAACAGTGTTACTCTTCTAAAACGACTTATCCAATTTTAATGAAAATTTCTATACATTCGATAGGCATATTTTTTATGTATATTCATTATGTACACACAATAACCTCACACACAATTAGCTAGTAACTTTCATGTACCACAACATGTCTAGAAAAAATCTGTATGAATATAAAATAGGATAAAGATAAAATAGGTCGACAAACATCCTGCTGAGATGTTATGTTGTTGTGGTATTTTCACCATTCATCAAGTCGACTCCATGCTTGCGATCTCTTATAACAAAAACTTATCAACAACAGAGGTGGTCTCATCCACATTGCATTTTCTACTTCCTTTTCAGACCATTGAACGCCAAGTCATCGCTGAACATCATCAACGGACGGTACACAGCCCTCACCAGTGCTGTTGTTAAAATTGAATATCTCCCGCCAACAGTTGAAATATTATGCGACATGCAAGTGCCACTAGCTAATTACTTCAGTAGAAAACGGGATATATTTTATAGAGGTACGTATCAGAAACTGTTTCCAACCAAAGTATTGTCAAAATCCAAAATAGGTCGACGACACATCATGTTACATATGGCTGGGGTAATTCATTTACCATCACGAAGCCCATGCTATTCTTCCTTTCAAAATTTAAGCATTTTTATTCACTTTACGCCTATATTTTGCTATATGCAATAAAAAGCACAATTATATAAAGTATTTTAACGGTTTAAAACTAGAAGTATATTAGATAATTCAATTTTATCAGCCCTAAGTTTTGGATGCTGCATAGGGAGGATGGGTGTTGCGTATTAATTAAAAATTATATTATTATATGTCATGTTTTAAGCCATTAATGTTTTAAGAAACGGACAATAGTTAAAATGGTTTTATTTTAAATAGTCACAAATATAATTTTTTATATTCCAGATCCACCACCGTCCACATTAAATCCAACAGGATCAGCAAACTCCATGACAGCACACGACCAAGGTATTATATTATTTAGATTTTCAACATAATTAATTTCAATAATGTAAAATCTTGGTTTGCTCACGTGGGGCAAACATATTTCTGTGCCCGTAAACTGATCGATTTTAATTACAGACATATGTGGTCTGCTCTTAACGATTTATAGCTTGCCCAGAAATCGAACCTACGACTTTTCACGCCATTAACCATTGCACTATGGAAGCGGTCAAAAGCTAGATTTTAAATCATTGCTCTTAATTTTAGCAAAATGTCGTCTATTAAATAAAACATTTTATCACAGCCGTGACTGGTGACCACGGCTGTTGCAAATCATCCGAAACGTGGCCGAAGTTAAAAATCATTTCCAAATAAGTTTAACTAAAATCCTTTTAAACCTTAAAGTGTTTTATTTAAATGTGTGCTACTCGCGTAAACTATAGACAGAAAAATATCGTCTTTTAGGTTTACTAATTTTTCTTATTATATTTTCAGGATACTCAACGCAGTGTAAGCCGACCCTTATCGCCGTAATGCTAATATTATATTTTAGCCTAAAAACTTCTTGACGTTATTTGACTTTGATTAATAGGTATTCGTTGTCTTTGTAAATATTAATGAAATTAATATATCTTGTACGATAGTAGATAATGATCTTAATATAAATACATACATATATTAATATTTTTTTGTGGCTCGTTGGTGTAATGGTAGCAAAGTATGTTTAATAATCAACGGGTCGTAAGTTTGAACCCTAGTGGGTCGAAAATATTTCTTATTAATTTAAAATTATTCTGAAACCTGTTTGAGTTCGGCTGGAAATATTAAATGGGTAGGAATGTTGAAATTCCGCCCAGGTCACAGAACCACTAATCATAGATGAAAAGGCCATGAAGTGTAATCGCGTATCAAACTGTGGATTTTCCAATATAGCCATAATAGCTCGTCAGCGCATCTGCATACGAAGTCCAATATGTTTTAGGAGAGCTATAACTTCATTACAAAAATGTTGAATCCAGTGGCGATCAAACCTACGGCCCATTGGTTATTAACCTTACATTGCTACCAATACACCAACGAGCTCGTCGTCCTAGTTGTGAAATCCAACGAAGTATTACCTTTTCACGGTCGAAAAAAGTTGCTAATCTCTTCCCGTTGCGGAATTTGAAAATCGCTAAGTGCAAAACGTGTTTCAACCATCGTACCTATTATGCTTTCATTACAATATTATAAAGTTAATTTAAATTCTTATAAACTTTGTTCCCGGCAGTTTTCTTCGAAGTTCGTTTAATTATGTTAATTTTAAATTGTGAGAGGGAATGGTAGGGATTACGGCTTTCTGATAAACGTTGTAACGTAAAAATGTTAAACTTTGGTAGTTAGAAAATGTATACATACAATTAATACTTACTGATTATCGATTAATTTATAATGTATTTGTAAATCATACATAGAGTATTGTCTGAACTGTTAAAACCAAGCACTTTTAACAGTTTAAAACGTGAAATATTAGCGACGACCTTCTCTCGCCCTCACGATGATTGAAACCGTCAAAAGTGTTTTGTCTTTGTGTTTAAAACAATTTATTTATATAACTTGATTATCTAAAAACACCACAGTCAAACATGAAAACTTAATGTTCCGTAGGCATTGTAATTTCAATTATACAAACTATACAGTAGAAACAAGACTGCTACCAAATATTTTTTCAAACTACTGTAGTTTAAAAATCATGAGTCTTGTTGGTATAAAATTTGGATAAAACCATTGATATAAAAATTATAAAATGATTTTTAGAATTACTTACCATCACATTTTCCATTTACACTAAATCACAATTTCTATGTACTCGTGTAATCCTGTGAAGAGTTCCAAAGATGTTTTTCTTCTAGTCCAGAATAAAGATTATTTTCAAATTATGTGTTTTATTATCCTTTGAACATTTTAATATCTTTCACTCGGGCAGGACTCGAACCGGCATCCACAGTTCAATTAGTTTAAACAACAGTACGGAACGAATTGTCCTGCTGTGTTTAAATACGACATTCTACAACAACTGCTACTTGGCTCATTGGTGAAACATATTGCGTTGAATTCGAGAGAATTTAATTATTATTATCATTATTAATTTAGAATAAAAAATTTAGGTCTAAATGTAATACAACTTGCGTATAATAAATATAGTCAAGCGGACATAGAAATGTAGGCGCCGGGTAGAGGAAACAGGATTTTAATTTAGCAAACATTAAATTACAATATATACACAAGGAGTAATTAGGTATTGTTTAAATAACAATGTTGAACCTTCAAACGTCTGCGCGGAATTGTTAAGTGTTAAACTTTGATGTTGTATTTTGAATACACGTGTTTTAGAATTACTGTGTACATCTTTGTATGTGCTTCTATTTAAATTTTTAATTAGCTTTTCGTTGATTCATTCATACCAAATAATATTTAAGTGACCTATACTTAAATATGATATTAAACAGCTCATCTGGTTGTTATATGAGTGGGCTATTTCTTTCATCGCTATCTGTCCTCAATCATAAAAAAGTATAAATTATAGTGACAATTATTTGCTATCATATAATACATTTCACGGATTAAAACGCGATATAGATTAGTAAACTTAATTTTAACTACCACGTGACTTTTTTTGTTTATTGACAGTGCTTGCACGTCATTTTTTATTAAAATATCGTATGCGATTACCCTGAAAATAATGATTACTTTTGTGGATCGTTCTGGTACACTGTTATCCTTATAAAGTATATTGTATTGATGAAAACCACCGTTCGTTTTGAAAGTATTAACATTTTTCCTTTTTTGTATGTGTTTTTAAATGGTCTTTACTTGATCTGAATCTTCATTTCCTTCTTTCCTAAATAAAGTTGTCAGATTGGAGCCCGTATCAAAAGATCGATCTTGGACGATTAGAACTTTGACGATGAAAATGCCTTTTTGACGACCCTGGTGTATACACTCATCAATTGCTCTTTAAAAAACTTTATTATATGTTTTTACGATACATTTATACAAAATTTTAAAATACGAAACGTCCGAAACGTCGAGCTGAAGTTAAATTTTATTAACATTAAGTATAACTCGAAATATATTACTTAATATATTTCGCGTTATAAACCGGTAAAATTGTTTGATTTAAATGTACTCGCATAAACAACAGACAGTACGTACATTTCATTTAAAATTCGAAAATAAATTGAAAAAAATTCGTTTCGGGCAGGACTTGAAACGGCATCGTCAGCGTTCCGTGCTGTTGCTCTACCAATTGTACCGAGTACGTACATCTGTCAATATCGGATGCTCAGTCCAGATCTAATAAAGATGACAGCAAGTGGTGGATTATCATACACCCACTCAGTATACTAAAAATCACTTTTTTTCCTAATTCAGATTAAAAAAGGGTTTCTGAAATTTTAGCCCTAAAGTTGAAAAAAAGGCAACAAAGTTTCTATACGACATCAATTCTATAGTACCAAATTTACCTTAACATTCTTATATTAACAAAATAAATTGAAAAATACATACTGTCTGTAGTTAACGCGAGTAGTACACATTTAAATAAAACACTTTAACGGTTTAAAACGCGATATATTTAAAATTATTTTTAACTACGGCTCGACGCTTCGGATGCTTTGCAGCAGCCGTGGTCACGGGGAGACAAGTTTAATTAAAATATACCGCGTTTTATTTAAATTAAAAAATACAAATTACAAACTCAACCCCCAATAATTCAATGCTTAACCGCTTACAAGCTTATTTTGCCCTGAGAAACAGCGCGAGTCTCGTATCGTCTATGCTTATGTAAACACATGTCTTCGCATTATGGAACCAAAATCACAAGTTGACACAGAAAGTATTGTATGTTGCAACTGGAACACAAATGGAAACAAAAGACAGGCAGCGAAACAAAACGCGACGGTAATGAGTTAGAAACAGTAGCTTCAATAAAAGCGATTGCAGAGCGCAGCGACGTCACGATTTCCACGCAGCTCGTGTTGCAGGTAGATTTACAAATCAGACGAATTTTAAAATGGCCAGTGTCGAATTGCGGATTTCTTTTTTGCGTTGAAACTTATTTGATGATATTGCCGCCACTTACAAGCTTTGGAATGTGTGTGAGACAATTAATTCTTCAGACAGTGAATTAAAAAAAGTTTCTTAAATTAATCCATAGATAGCACTTTCCGCAACAGCTGAGTTACATCATTTTACATATTAAAAACGCAAAAAAAAAAAAAAAAAAAAAAAAAAAAAAAAAAAAGGGGGGCGCCCTTCCCCCCCCCCCCCCCCCCCCCCCCCCCCCCCCCCCCCCCCCCTTTTTGGGAGGGGAAACCCCGCCCCCCCAAAAAAAAAAAATTTTCCCCCCCTTTTTTTTTTTCCCCCCCCCCTTTCCCCCCCCCCTTGTTGGGCCCCCTGGTTTTTTTTCCCCAAAAGTTTTTTTTTTTTAGGTTTTCCACAAAAAAAAAAAAACATTCCCCCCCGGTTGTTGTTTGTAAAAAAACTTTCTTTTTTTTTTTATTTTTTTTGTTGTGGGGCCCCCAGGGGGTTTTGGCCCGCCACCGGGTCTCCGGGGTTGTCGGCTGGCTCGATATCTCACGCTGGTACCACCCGACCCACGCACCCTGCTGTGCGTATGTACTGAGCCAGTTACCCCCTCTCACTGACGTATATCGTTGAGAGAAACAAGACGTATATCGTTATTAGAAACACTTGGACGTATTTCGTTAGAGGGTCTCTTCAAATAAAATCCCTTTTTCTTCTTATTATTCTTCCAAAGTGCTTCTTCCTTATTGCTCGATGTGACATGTTTTGCTTCGGGACCTTTGCGAGCTTAAGTAACGCGAACTATACCGCGACGAGATGTCCGCGAAGCGTGTGCGATTTCGTGTTATTTTCCGCCAATTTGTACTATCGCGAAGCACTTTGGAAGCTTATATTTATTTATCCATTTATGCGATTTTTACAATTTTTACATGGAATTAAACCTTACAAAATTCTCTATTTGACTATATAAAATACATTTCAATAGTTTTAATCTCCAATGAGATATTCAAGTTTCTAACAAAAAGTTCGACAATTTTCGATTTGCTATTTCGTTAACTTTAACATCTATAAACTTCAAACTTTTATAAAACGATTCCTTTTATCAATATTAAGCTATTATAACAGTTAAAATAATTATTATATGACATACAAACAAGAAATATCAAGAAATAACTTTGTCATATAAACTTACACTAAAGACGCATTTTTACACATTAAGCTTAATTATTTTAGGACATAGCAATATTCTATAACAAAATCTATCCTAAAACACTCATTTTGACATACATAATATTTACAATATACGATTAGAAATAATTAAATTAATTACATAACACGTAAATAACCTGTGCGAGTGAGATAGACATATATGTGTGCAACAAAGACAGATAAAATAGTTTGTGAGAAAGATAGGCATATTCGTGTGACAAAGATAGCTATATAAGTGGACCTCACGTGTTGTGTAATACCATTTCTACAATAAAATATTAATTAATCAAACTACTTATTTTTACGTGAGGTCGTAAGGTCGCCAACATTCTCCCCTTCGTGCGGTAACGCACCATCCTTCTGGGGCGGCGACTCGGTGGCGGGAACCAGGAGCACGATGCGCGATGACGGTTGATGTCTCGCCTCGCGTTGTCTTGTCGATGACTCGTGTTCTTCCGTCGGGTTCTGGATCCGTCTCTGCCCTCGTGGCCATTTGCATTGAGGGAGAATGCGGTCGACAATGATGACCGCACCTTCCACCTTCAGGTTGTCGCCCGGCGCCTTGTTCATATTCTTCCGCAGCCATCTTCTCCATAAGTGCTGTGCCAGTAGTTGCACCATCTTCCAACTGTCTTTGCCAACCCTTTTCATTTCCGCGAAGCTGCCAATCAGCGCCGCTCCACGAGACCTTCCGATGACGAAGTAAGTCTGCGCCTCTTCTTCTGCCTTGTCTGCTTGTGTGGCTCGTTCCCCAATAGACCACTGCGGCGTAGGCTGTCTCACTGGCGTCCGTGAATGTGTAAAGCTCCCCTTCGGTGCATGTTGGTGATATGCACCGAGCCAACCGGATGTCTTCAATCTACTTTTGTTTTCCAATTGCGCCTTGTATCGGGTGAAGTCCTCTTGTGTGTTCTTCTCCCCATCCGTTACGTCTCCGCCAAACGTGCTGGATCAGCTTTCCCTGTATGAGGATGGATGAGGTAAGACTTTTCGGTTCAAAAGTGGACCTTACCGCTCTGGTGACATCTTTCTTCGTTGGGGTCTTCATTCCGCTTGCTACGCCACGCGTTTGCCATCGTAAATTTAGGGTCTTCTCGTTATTTGTTCCTAAGAACCGTGCACTATCTCGATCTTTCTCTTTTATCTTCACTCGCAATATCATTCCTCTTATGTCTGCTATTATTGCGACTGGACCCTCCCTGAAACGTAGCAATATTTCAAACAATGACTGGAGTAGATTTGGGCCGGGTAGCAGCGCGTCATTAAAGCTCCATTCAGTCGTCTTCACCGCCGTGTCGAAGACGATCCTCAACTTCTTCTTCAGGGGATTCGGCAAGTACCATTTCTTCGGCGAAGTGCAGACAGTGAGTACCTCGTTAGCATATTGGCAGCGCAGCAAGTTCATAATCTGCGTGCTGTACTCCCTTTTCAATTGACTGTCTTCCTGCAATTTCTTCTTGATCCCCGTAAACCTGTCTAAAGCAGAATCGTTATTGTCTGGCAGTTGCATGTTGTCTTCTTTCCAAAGGAGACCTACGTTAGACCGTTCGTTCTTTGAGCACCTACTGGTTTCCTGAAGTGTCCTTGTGCCTTGCTCTTCCGTATCTGTACTCGGTCTTTTCGGATGTTTACCAAGCGACTCAATCGTGAAGTGCTCCTTTACTGGCTTATCCAGTTCTTCAACGATGTTCAGGTGAGCGCAAGTGTTGACATAATTTCCTGGGGACACGTGGTTGCTGTCGTTGCCGTGCAGGACCCAGCCGAGTCTAGTTCTGGAAGCGACCGGCTGTCCTCTTTTCCCCCTGCGCACCTGTAAGGACACTATGTACTCCCAATTATCCTGGCCGATGAGCAGCATAGGTTTCTCCGCCTCGTAATATACATCATCAATGATTTTCGATAGATGCTTATATCTCTTCAAACGTCTTTTGTCAAGGTGTTGAGGCGTCAGGTTCAATTCCTTTACGGTCCGTACTTCTTTGAGCTTACCTCTGCTATGTTGTTTAATACCTCGCAGTTCCAGGTCAATCTTCATGGACTTCTGATGTTGTAATTGCCCACCGCCCACTGTATCGACGGTCAGTTCTTCCTGAGGTCCCCTGGCTCCAATCGCGTCTGCGATCTTCTCGTGCAGAAGTGTCACTGTTGAGCCTTCATCCAGCAACGCCATTACCTTCTTGTTGCCTTTGGGCCCACATACTTCGACCTGGATCATCTTTAGCAGTGCTCTGGAATTCCTAATGGTGTTGACCGATTCTGCGGATTGTTCTACTTCTTTAAACACATGCAACAAATCATGATGCCATCTCTTACATGTCTTACATGGCGGCTTCCTACAATTTTCCTTGCGGTGTTTTAATGACAGACATTTAAAGCATACCTTTGCTTTCTTCACGGCATCCCACTTGTCACTGACACGCATCTTCAAAAATTCAGGACATTCTGGTAATCGGTGGTTGCCCTCGCACCCTGGACATTTCATGGTTTCGGCGACCCGCGTTACGTTGTTCGTGGTGTGTCTTAGTGGTTTTCTCGCAGTCGCGCTTTCACGTTGTGGCTTGTACTCCACAGCTCCTGCAAACGCGCTGCACCTGTCTGCTTCTAAATTGAGAAAAGCACTCACCAATTCTACGTTGTACTTTGACTTCCTCTGGATACGCCGATGCATATTCATACCACCGATACCTCAAGCCGTGTGGTATCTTCTCAACTATTGAGTTCACTGCCGCTGGTGCATGCAGGAACTGGGGTCTGTTCAAACTCTTGATCGCCGCGACACTATTGCTGATACTGTTGGCGAAGTTACAGAGCTCCCTCGGGCTATGCCCAATCGGAGGTATGCTCTCCAATTTCTTCACTTCAGCCATCACTAGTAGGTCGGGCCGCCCGTAGCGCCGACGTAGTGCTTCCATAACATCTTCGGGCTTCATACTGGAGTACAGAAGACTCTTGCAGCTCTCCCTGGCTTCCCCTTTGATCGCATTCCGAAGTCTTGCCATATTGTGAACTGGTGAAAATAGAGAAGCTGTGTTATCATATACAACCTGAAATGCCGTCCACTCGGTGCTGTCTCCCTTCAAAGACTGGGAGCTCTTGTATATAACTTGGTTGCGTAGCCATCGTAACGTTGTGGGACAATGCTTCTCGTAGCGCCTCTGCGATGAGTTGAACCTCGGCTGATGCTTCTTTCTTCACGGCAGCAGGACCAACGGTAGCGGCTGCAGCAGCAGCGGCAGGTCCGGCAGCAATAGCAGGCCTAGCAGCGGTAGGCCCGACGGCAACAGCTCCAGCAGCGGCCATTCCCGCAGTAGCAGGTCCAGCAGTTGCAGGCTCCTCGGCAGCGGCTCCAGGTAGCAGTGGTGGCTCGGCGGCAGCAGCTTCCATCCAGCTCCGGATGTTGCGGTCTCGTTCCTGGAAGGCTTCTTCATGTTCGGCAATGGAGTCTTCTTCCTCTTCTTCCGTCATTTCTAAACGGATTCGTAGCAGGCGTGCCTTTGCCTGTATTTCTTCGAGCTCAAGGCGTGCCAACTCTTCTCTGGCCTCGAGCCTCCGTCTGTTCGTGCTGGCTCGGGACCTCGTAGCTGTTCCAGCTCGCCGGGTAGAACCCTCGGGTACCAGGGTCATGGTGTGACCTGGCTGGCTCGCTGTTGTGGCTTCCGTGGACACCATCGTCTTCTCGGCCTCTGTGGTAACCGTAGTCCCTGACGTGGTGTCGTGCGTGGCACTCGTGGCAGCGCTCGTAGGTGATGTCACATCGGCTGTCTTGTACTCCTTCTGTGATCGGGTAACTGGCATCTTGAATGCAGGATCCGGCTTTCGAAGGACCAAAAATTGTTGAGGGGTCCCGCAGAGGGTTTCGGCCCGTCAACGGGATCTCCGGGGTTGTCGGCTGGCTCGATATCTCACGCTGGTACCACCCGACCCACGCACCCTGCTGTGCGTATGTACTGAGCCAGTTACCCCCTCTCACTGACGTATATCGTTGAGAGAAACAAGACGTATATCGTTATTAGAAACACTTGGACGTATTTCGTTAGAGGGTCTCTTCAAATAAAATCCCTTTTTCTTCTTATTATTCTTCCAAAGTGCTTCTTCCTTATTGCTCGATGTGACATGTTTTGCTTCGGGACCTTTGCGAGCTTAAGTAACGCGAACTATACCGCGACGAGATGTCCGCGAAGCGTGTGCGATTTCGTGTTATTTTCCGCCAATTTGTACTATCGCGAAGCACTTTGGAAGCTTATATTTATTTATCCATTTATGCGATTTTTACAATTTTTACATGGAATTAAACCTTACAAAATTCTCTATTTGACTATATAAAATACATTTCAATAGTTTTAATCTCCAATGAGATATTCAAGTTTCTAACAAAAAGTTCGACAATTTTCGATTTGCTATTTCGTTAACTTTAACATCTATAAACTTCAAACTTTTATAAAACGATTCCTTTTATCAATATTAAGCTATTATAACAGTTAAAATAATTATTATATGACATACAAACAAGAAATATCAAGAAATAACTTTGTCATATAAACTTACACTAAAGACGCATTTTTACACATTAAGCTTAATTATTTTAGGACATAGCAATATTCTATAACAAAATCTATCCTAAAACACTCATTTTGACATACATAATATTTACAATTTACGATTAGAAATAATTAAATTAATTACATAACACGTAAATAACCTGTGCGAGTGAGATAGACATATATGTGTGCAACAAAGACAGATAAAATAGTTTGTGAGAAAGATAGGCATATTCGTGTGACAAAGATAGCTATATAAGTGGACCTCACGTGTTGTGTAATACCATTTCTACAATAAAATATTAATTAATCAAACTACTTATTATTACGTGAGGTAAGGTCGCCAACAATTAGTATAGATCATTTTTTCTTAAAGTTAAGTAAAATATTTCTTAAGGAGGGTTAAGTAAGGTAAGTGTTTAATAGAATGCAGCAATACCTCTAATAAAGATTTTAAGTAGTAGTTAGTTAAGCAATAAAATTGACTTATCAATATTTTGGGTTTAAAACGACGCGTTAGCCGATTACCCGTAGCGCGGACACGGTCACAATGACTGCTATTTTTTCCATCCCAATCCAATCCTCAATACACTCCTGCGAATTGGAAAACTGGACGGCACCTGCTACTCTCTGTGATAGGCGCAGTTCAATTTTGAAAACCGCATATTGAGGAATTTTCGTAGCAAAGTAATCAAATCAGTGATAGAATCGATAGCCGTCATGGCCCGAAATGGATGTTAAAATAACATTTTTACATATTCGCTTTCAAAAACAAACGCTCTAGCGCTACGTTGTTGACGCTCCGATTTGATTGTTGATGTGAAAATTGAAATAACGATTTTCCACTTGATTTACAGGTTCATCAATGTGTGCATCGTAATTTTATTACTAGAACGATCAATCGAATGTTTTATACTATGCTAGCTATGCCCGCGACTTTGTCCGCGTGAAGTTATTTTAGGCGACATAATTTTTTTATACAATCCCCTTTGTTTTACACATGGCTGGTAGGTACGTCGCCCGCGTTCCGCCTTTGTTTTTTTTTCTTTATATTGTCGCGGACACGTTTAATTAAAAGCATTATATTTAAAGGTAAATTCTATAATACATATCTTTTGCATTTTGAAGCGACTTCGCAGCACGTGCAACGGAAGCTCTAAGTGATAAATAATGCTTCCCGTTTTTTTTTAAACGCTTTTTTGCTCTTATTTGTCGCAGCGCGATTTTATATATATACTAAGCTTCCTTTATAAATGGACTATGCAACACAATATTTCTTGATATTAGCGCGTTTGAACAAACAAATAAACGTGAAAGTTAACTCGAGATATAATAGCCATAATAGTTCGTAACGGAAAAGTATTCCCACATTTCCCAACTAATTCCTTGGTCGAGAACATCGAAGGCACATTATAACGGCTTAGGATCTTGCCGCGAATAAATTTCCCTCGAGATGCGTATTTCACAAGATTTGGGACAACCCAAGGATCCTGTGTGTGTACCCTGCGATCCGCTATGCCTTTCTATTAAAACCAGAAAAATATAAAGTATTGCTTGTAGATTACGTTTGTAGTTATTTAAATTAAACACTTTTAACGGTTTAACTAATAATTAGTTTGAAGCAGCCGTGACAACGCATTTGAAATTTCGGGTCTATGTTAAAGTAAATTTTAAATAAGTAAACATTTTTTCAATTGAAGAAAATACTTCTAGTGGTGTAATAAGCGAAATACATGTAAATACTATTGTAACGAAATTACGGCTGCTTACGACGACGAAGGCATCCGAGACGTCTGATCGCAGTTAATATAAAAAAAAATAAATAACGAACATAATATTTCGAGATTCAAATCGTTATTAGTATTTTAATTGGATGTGTACTACTCACGTAATGTGTTAACCATAAATCATTTATTTAAATAATAACAAAATAACCTCAATAACAAATCCCTAACTACGCGCATTTAGTTAGCAATAGCGCAACGGCGGTTAACGTGAAATACGGACTAACAAAATACATTAAAAGTTGGTAACATTAAAGCGGGCCCATTAGCCGACCTTGCTATTAATTCCTATTCAAATAATACGGACAGCTCAACAACTATTCGGTTAATTATGACTTTTATTGATATTGATGTTTATTCGTTCTGACCACGATCACCGCAAATTGGCATTTATTTATTTGTATCGCTGACTTTGGAATTACGATACAAATACTGTTTGGTCAAAGTTAGTGAAGTCTATTTTCTCTAAATTATTATCGGCTGATACTTAAATCCAATTAAAACTTTTTAACGGTTTAAAACTAGAAATATAATAGTTAATTTATTTTAGCTATGATCGATGGTTTCACATGCTTTGTAAAAGCCATGTTAAATATGTGCAAACTACAGATCCTTTTAATTTATTGCTACATAAGTGACTTTTGTAAGACTCCAGACGTTCGACGATCTGTCAGACGTTCTGTGTTTGCTCATAAAAATTATGTAAAATAATCGGTTTTTTCGATGTAATAATAATAATAATAAACTCTTTATTGCACAAACATAGACATAAGAACAAGGATACATAGAATATGTAAAATAGATGTAAAAATAAATATTAAATAAAAATAATTATGTCTCACTAGATCCATTTATACCAATAATTACAATAAAGGATCTGTATATCCTTTGCTCTTGTAACCCTGTCTAAATATTGCCTATGATAAAGGTAAGAAAAGAGATATAAAAAAATAATTCCTACATACACAGAAAAAGGCTTTCGCTTCTATTTAAAAAGAACCGCATTAATCCATCAATTCATTTGCACGAATTGTCTGTCTGGCGATATGCAATTTTAAAGAGGTCCACCGAACTGCATTGGTCAAAATCGTTCTATTTGTAGTATAGAGTCATAGATAGCCCACACTTCATTATTCACGACTCGTCTTGAGTCGTCGACACGTTCCCAGCTGCGGTAGAATTTAATGTGGCGTTTGATGCAGTTCACATTATTTGGTTTTCAATAAATATATACAACAATATTATAAAACTGTTAATAGTTTGTTGAAATGCGATAATCTCAGGAAATATTGGTTCGAATTAAAAATATATTTGTGTTGAATAGACCATTTACCGAAGGAGACTTTTTATGTTATACCGTCTCGCTCCGACCAATAGGAGCGAAGAAATAGTGGAAAAAAGGCCAAAACAAAATAAAAATAATTAAAAGCAAAAAAATCCTTTATATAAAACACTTAAAGTTTGCCAAATAACATCTACGAGGAAAAAGGTGGCGTAGCTGTTCTCGATTTGACATTAGGGACAACCTCCATCTTCCCCCCGTGACCATGACTGCTCAGCATCCGAGACTTAAGACCGTAGTTAAAATAAATTGTAAATAAGTTAATTAATACATTTCGCTTTTTAAACCGTTTAACGTATTATTAATTTATTTATATGTTTCTACTGACGTATTTGCCAAGTAAGCTTTACAATATCCTAAGTAGTATATAAGGAACAGGCAGCTTAATTAAAAAACAGACAAAAACTTTTAAATAAAACACTCATAACTGTTTAAAACGCGAAATGTATAATCAAATCAAAAATCATTTATTTATATAGGTAGTTTAGTATATATACTTAAGAACGTCAAAACAGTTAAAAATTGAAAACTCTAAATTTATAGTTACTACCAGTTCCCAAGCTAAGAGTGTAGAGCGAACCAGAAGAACTAGCAAGAAAGTCACCGCCACTCCTTTTATTCGTCCTTGTTAGAGCCGTTCCATAATATTCATACCGTTAAACCTGTTTTATTTAAATGTACACAAAAAGGACTCTTAATGTATATTTCAAGGGATTCTAGACGAGTACAATTCTTTACTTTTACTGTCATTCGTTTCAGAAAAGCACGATTCACACTTTGATTTAATAAAAAAAAATCCGACATTCTGCTTCTTTTCAATTCGATACTGCTTGGTACCGGAACAAAAGATACATGCATCATGCAATGCTTTCAGCTCAAAAGACCTTCAAAACGTACTATATTGGTATGAAGCAAATAAAAGGCACTCTCTGTATGCATGTAAATCTGCTGGAGGCTACGATACCCGGTACAGATTGAAACGTACTGCCACAGATTATGTAAAACTAACAGTCGTTCAGCTTACACATAGAACTAGACCGGTAATTCCCAAAGTGGTCTATATCGACCCCTAGAGGTCTATGACAACCCACAATGGGTCTACGTAAGCGAAAAAAAATTTGGGGGTCCACG